GTCAAAACTGCCCGAGTCACAAACTGCGCTGTGTTGGTTTTCCTGGGAACAAAGCCTTGTGCAATTAATAACAGGGAGTACTTTAGTTCAGAGAAAAATCAGAAGACTTCATCTTTATCTCTTTTTCCATCTGCCAACACAGGCAATTATAACCAGCTCTGCACTCCCAGCTGCACCCAAGTCGCCAGCACCCTTGTCCTTTCTGCAGAGCCCCGATCTCTCACATAAGCAGAGCTCCCAGCTGCGACTTTACAGTCAGGTTTCCACTTACAGCAACCCCTGGCAGGACCCAATCTAGCTTTCACCAGCACTATTTGCAGCTCATCAGCAGTGGGATCCCGTATGCCCTGGGTGAACCCAGCTCACAGGTGCGGCTGCCGCTGGGTGACCATTTCAAAGGTAGGATTTCTCCAGCCACACCATCACCTCCCTCAGCTTTCTAAAAAGTAGTGGCCCAAGAGCCTTAGTCCTGCAGGACGCCTTGAGTTTTCCATTCCCATGCAAGGAAACCTTATAGGAGATGATTACAGGGTCTATCCTTGTCCCCAGTCACTTCTCTCCTGGATAATACAGCAGCACTACTCCCATCAGGAGGCCAAAACACCTCACCCAAGGACAGAACTTCAGCAACTGAAGCAACCCACGCCCAAAGGGGATTTTGCACTATAGTCATAGAAGAACCACCTTGGCAGATTCATTTTTTAAATTCTCCTTCTGGCAGCACACACATCAAACCCCACTCCACCCCACAGAGCCGCAGGAGCTCCCGCAGTGCGCTCCCTCCAGCACGCTGCAGGAGATGTGCTGCTGTCGCCTCGTGTAAATCTAAGCCTCTGTTTCAGACTAAGAAAACTAATGTTGAGTTTCTAAGAGAAATTAATCCATGTTTTCTGGGTTTTTTTTTCAGCAGAAAACACTTAGCTCCGGTAACAACACAGCAGTACCTAAACCGTGAAAGGTTACAGAATTCATTAGACTTGTAGATTGCTTGAAACAGATTTAATAAGAACAGGTACTGACACAGTGTTTTGATTGCTAATAGCACATCAGGCATACAACTGCCACAGTCGCAAGTGCCATAATCCATTTGCACCTGAAGCTCACCTGCCCTGGTCAGGCCTCCCTTGCCGTCAGTTCAACACTGGCGCCACCTGATTAAGAACCAGAAAACTTGTGTTTAGAAAGGGGCTCCAGAACAGAGCTGTGAAACATGACGCTTCATGCAATCTCAGACGTGAAAGCACGATGCTTATATGAAACAAGGTGAGACAGCCGCCTTTTTAAACTTTTTCATTTTGATCCTGTTTTATGGCTACTTGAGGCTTAACTCCATTTTTCAATACAGAAACAAGATATTCCATTTTGTAAGCTTAGTACACACGTCTCGCATATAAACATCATTTTCTTTTCTCCTTGAGTAAAAAGAAGTAGTTTAAAAGACAAGTTCCCTGTGCTGGAAGGCTACTGAAAGATCCTTTTTTGTACTGAAGTTCCCTCTAACCTGCACAGAAAGCAGAATTAAAACTCTTTCCTGCCTCACAGCTCCAATCTTGCTGTCTTGACATAAGACTGCAAGAACCTAGCCACGATTAATACATGGTGAGACAGCAGGAGATTACTTAGTTTCATATATCCCAAAAGAGCAGCTTTTGAAGATGTATGAAAAGCTACATCCCTTTTGAAAATCTGTCCTATTCATAAGCTCTGCAGAGGAAAACATGTGCTCCGTCCTCTCATCTTTACCTCAGCAGATGTGCTACTCCTAGAAGGCAAGAGAGCTCTGCAGAAAGAAAACAGGTTGTTGATACTAAAAGGGCAGAATACAACCAACATTTGCATGTGAGCTAGTAAAGAGCAAGAGTGCAGCTGCATAAAGTTTTCATAGCAGGGAAGACTAGCTGGAGAAGGCTGAGAATAGACTTAACGATAGAACAAGGCTAGAGAAACAGGACTATGTCCCAGAAAACATGGATGAGCGAGCTACTAAGACTCCCCCTAAAGAGACATTTTTTTGAAAAATTCAAGCCAGGAATTCCAGTATACCTGCTGGAACTCCCCTGAAGAAATTCAATTTTATGTCTCATCAGGAATGTAACCCTCATTTCCAAATGAGGCTCAGCCTGCCCTGTGTATTCACTCTGTCTCAGTGCCCAAGGCGGCCCTGGCTTTATTCAGTGACATTTGGAAAACTGGTGTAACAATGCCACATATAAAGAAGTTCATTAATTGTGTGTCATTTACACTAGAAATGAAACAACTCCCTTACAGGCTCAGAAAGCTGATACTTGCTACACATTTTACATTAATTCAGCAAGAACAAAGCAGTTTGAGTGAAGCAGGTTGTTCCCTACCAAATGTAATGATTCTATATGGTGGCCAAAAACATCTGAGCTAAATTGGGTACACTACATGCACGGCAATGAAACATGAAAAATTCTCCACATGAGTACCAGAAAACTGAATTGCAGGTTCCCACAAATTCCCCATAATTACCTCTTCAGAACAGCTGCTTCAAGAGTACCTTTTCCTTAAGCTGACAGCCAAACAGCTATGGGGAAGGGATCGACAGGGATGCAGTCAAAACCAAGTTAAAAGTGTAAAGAAAATACCATCATCCTTCTGATCAGAAATTGCATCAAAACCAGAAACTGGTAAGCAGACCAGATAAGTGACGAGTAAAGAGTCCCTTGAAACTGGAAGAAAGGAAATAAGCAGTTCTAAAAAAGATGCAACAGTGAGAATAGTCTTGTCGCAGACATCAACCCTAAAGACGTTATCTTCAAACACATACTCACTTGAACACAGCTTAAGCACACACCTGCCAAGGACCTTACAGCTGGCTGTGGCCAGTAGCCTACACAGGAGAAGATGGTAGCGCTGAGTGTGCTTGATCAGGACAGGCTTTCCCACCAGAGCAAAGAGAAAAGATCCATGCTCCTGGATCTTCTTGTGAGCTTTGGGCAAGTAAAACACTCTATGTCTGAAGAGACAGAGGAAGCTAAACATTCAGACTATGGATAATTTGGATAGATAAAGGTACAGATTTTACATGATCCCATACCATCAATGTCTTCATAATGCTGGTTTGACATTGCCCAGCAGGTGGGGCAGGTGACCAGCAGAAGAATCTGCGTGCCAACAGCAAACTGCATTTCGTCTAATTTTCTGAAGCGAACGTGCTGTGCTGGAGAAGTTCCCTACTCCAGAGGAACCTTCTCGGCCACTGGCAGTTCACCTGCTTCCAGGGAGATGGATCCCTGGACGACCTCTGGCCTATGGGACCTGCCTGCTTCCCCACCACGGACAACATATGCTGAGGACGAGATCCTGGCTCCAGAGAAACTGGGGATAGCTTTGCAGTCATGGGATTTCCCATGAAATGGGAATTCATGGACAGGATTTTGTCCCAAAGATATGGCTGGAGCATTGAACATGATGAGCACCAAACATCACGTGCCTGTTGAAGAGTGTAAGCAAAGCAGTAATATACCATAATGCCTCTAGGGGCTTTCTACGTGAAAAAGGGTACTGTAACGGCGTAGCCACATCACAAGACAGTTCACAAAGGCAGATGAAAGAAGCCAAAATACATACCAAGTTAGTCAAGGGGCACGGTTAAGCTGTTGTCTGGTGCCGACTGTAGTGACTTTTTCATCAACTCCAGTACCTAATTAAAGACTCATTTTTAAAGAAGGAAATCACAGCATCTCCAATAATAACAGCATCTGTACCAAATGCATTCCACAGCTCTTTTCTGAGTATTACCTTAATTATTACACTAGGATGAACAGTACTCAAACAATAAAGTATTTCTGTTACAACATTCTATAAAACAGAGTATTTTGTGGAAAACAAAAAAATCTTAACATTGTACCTAACTCAGATGCATTAGTTTCAGAGTACAGCTCTGTCCCCATTACATTACAGGAAGAATGACAAGTCTATCCCCAATCCACACATCCAAAGACTAACAATTTCAAATTTTTACATAATGCACTCAGGTGTCATCTTCCACTAAGGTACAGCGTTAGGTACTTCAGAAATGAATCAAGCAAAACCTTGAATACACTGTGGCAAACTGTACTGCAAATACCTTTTTCTACCTCAGAGAGAGGTGTGGAAAGAATCTTGGTGTGAAACAGCAAAGCTGATCATCTTCTTGGTAAGCTATTTACCAGAGTGTGAAATCTAAGACCTGGCAGAAAAGTTCTTAAAAAGAAAGTTACATTGTAGGCCTGGTACTGACTTCCACCCTCTTAATAAATTCAGTTTCTTTGGTGATGGGCACTAGGAATGTTAGCGCCGCATAAAATTAAGTTTTGGGGTTTTGTTTCTTTTGAATGAAGGCAACCATAATGCATTTTTAAAGATCAGTTCTGATTATCCGCCCTCCCCGCCACCCCAGCTTATCTGGAAAAACATGAACCAGTTTTCATTAGAGCATTAATCATCAGTACAAAACTTCTTCCTTACCTGCACAGACCTGAACAGTCACAGCATCAAGGTTATAATCCACTGTTACCACCTCACAGTTTGTGTCATCCTTTACTAAGAACTGGAAAAGATGCTCTTCATCTTCTATCTGGTAGCACATGGGTAACTTACTGTGAGCAAACATGACCTGGTCTAGCCCACATCTGGATAAGTCAGACAAGGCCTCCGTGGCGAAAAAGGGCTATTGTAACACGACAGGCAGACATTTACAGAAGACATACTAGGGGGTCCAATTAGATCCAGTTGCATTTCATAGCTACCTATTAATTATAATATGAACCATTATTTCTCGTACAGTAGGTGCCATAGACTGCTGCAAGAGACTGATGCTAAAAGATCATCACTCTTTACAATTCACTGACTGACAGACAGTACCTGGCGAGGTGCAGATATTTAAGCTAAATCAGAATAGAATGGAAGAGGAGCTACACATCAGCCACTACTGTTCCAGCATCAGAAAGAGGCCTTCTTGCTATTCACCTTCTTTTTATTTTAAGTTTGACACAGCTGAATTTCCCAAATGATCTTGTGGTTAACCTCCTTTACAAAGTATAAATACTATTCCATTCTTATACAAAAGAAATACAGCTGTTTGTATATATGCACACCTTGACAGCAACTCCTTGAAAGAACACTGTAACATGAAACTGCAGAGCTAATACACACAGAGCACTGATTCAGCTGAAGGCCAGGAAGTCTCTGCTAAGAAAGGCAACCTGTTAAGGTAAAGTTCTCACTAAGAACTTGCATGCTTTAACTGAACTCGTAACATGTGGGTGGGATAATTGGAATCATGTGACATGCTCTTATACAACTTATTAGTTAGATTCTGGTTTACAAACTGTACCCTATAATTGCTGCATTTAACTGAAGCCATCCAATATAGAATGGAATTGCTTGAATACATCTTACTGGTATAAGGAAGCAGCCTTGTTGGATGATACGTTATCAACTCTTCTCAGACACTGAATATGCTCAAGAGTAAAATTAAGACACGAGTGAGATCACACAAGGTTTTGGTAGGTATTTTTTATGTTGGCTTTATAGCTTTTTTGGCTTCTTTAGGAAATTCCTGCACAGTGAAAGGAATGAAGAACTCCAGAAGAGAGTTGACCTCCTTCAGTTCCAGACTGTATTCCACTGCTATTTTCTCTGCGGTCCATATTTGAGGATGAAGTTTATGATTATTAAGAAGTGTCAGAGCCTCCACAATGGAAATTTTGCCTTTGGGAACTTTCTTAACATCTAGATCTCCCAAGTGGCCTAGTTTTGTAAGTCTCTTTTCCTCCTGTTTACAGGGAAGATGTTCGCCACCTCCATCTTTTACCTAATTGTGGGAAGGAAAACAAAAAGAGCTTAACAGCAGTTCTCTTTACTATGCATACTGTAGCAGCCAAGCTGTTTTCTAAATATGGCATTTCCTGTTAGCTTTTCCCTTTTTCACAGCATTTAAAAAAAATAAAAATGCTTAGCCAGCCTTGCTTCTTGATATCACAAAAATTGTCAGTTCTTCCACGGCCATTTTATATATGATGTCAACCTCCACCCAAATTCCGAAAAGCTACCATCTATTGAACTCTTAAGTGTTGTACAGACTTGGCGGGCCTTCATACAAGGCAAACTACAGATTTTGGTAGCCAAAAGTAAATGCAGATAACCTAATATTTGGTACTGATTTGTGGCAAGGAAAAAAAAAATTCATGCTACAAATTGGTATCCTTCTGATACCACTGGAAATCTTTTTCATATAGTCTCTTTCTCCCCTTCCTTTCATTTTCAGATTTTAGTTTTGTAACTAAAAGATATCACCTCTTTTGCTCTGTCTAGAGAACAAGCTTTGCTGGAGAAAAAGAAAGTATTTTGTAGCATCATAGGGAGTTTAATTCCCATGACTACTGCAGTGCTCAGACACGCAAAGTCTCTTCTCCCAAGTCCCTTCATATTTCCAAGTCAGTTCCAAACCAGCTCTGCCTTCCCCATATTGCCTTTTATTAACATTTAACCAGTGAATGACACTGCAAAAACGACACAATGAAAACCTTTCTTAAATTTAAGAAAAAGTACTTTTAAAGTTATCAGAGCCCACAGACACTCTGTATTAACTCACAAGCTGAGAAAACTGATGTGGATGCTACAGCAACTATAACTGTGTGTCTGTTTCTAAACTACAGAGAATGTCTGATGATGCTACCAGTTCTCCATTTCTTTCTTTTACTTTGTGCTAAAACTATGCTCAGATAATGAACAATTTTTCAAGTCTTAATAAAATGATATGTCTCTGGCTATCTGCCCCTTCAGGACTTAAGAGTTGGTGCTTTTCCACTTACCACAGATGGACACACCAAATATACATAGAGGTATGTACACATACATGATGCACAAAGTATTCAGAATAACATCAGGAAAAGAAGAAAGCTTTTGGATGAAGTTCTGCCCACAAGCCTCCGTGCTAACATGTTACTCATGCTCTTCCCAACAACTGCAAATAGACACACCACAAGAGCAGCAACCTCAGAGTAGGAACGGAATCAAGCACTAAGGTTTGTTCCACTTTGGGCTTTTTCCTCAAATCTCTCTTGACAGGCTTACAAATGAATATTGAAAGATACTGAAATTAGAACTTCAGCACTTCCAAGATTAGTCCTAACCTCTATTATGAAAATGAAGGATAGAGATTACTTGGACACTTCAGGGAGAGACTGCAGAAATCTGTTTGCATTTTTAAATACTTTTAGTCTTGAATACAAGGTGCTATGAAAGTGGCAAATTAGAGAGACTTGGGAATTTTATTGCTAGATGATTATAAAACTTTTATTGCTGAATAAAGCAGCTAGAATAAAGTGGTCCAATACTGCAACAGGTAAAAACGCACAAGCCATAATGTAACATGGTGGAAAAGAGGAGACTGAACTCCAGCCTGCATTTTATTGGAAGCAGTATGCTTCGCCTTACAAGTCAAAGACTGCAGCTGTGGGCAATGAGGAAACTGATCACCAAACTGTTCAGAAGGTTATGCAGAAAAAAACCTAAGGCACTTCCTCAGCTGCATAAGGAAAAGTTTCTGGACAGTACAACATTAACATCAGTAGTTAAAGACTCCACTAAGATGTTAAAGTCTTTGTCCTCTACCACATCCATGCTCCCATAGTAGTCCGAATGTCTTTTCTCCTAACAACTCTACAAGAGATCTTTGGCAAACTCCTGCATCTTTGCAAAAGGCTGGCCAACTGTCCTTCCACCTCAGGGGAAGCAGAAGTGGGAATCCAGATGAAAAACAAGGTAAGATCAACGTGACAGTAAAAAGGAAAACTGCGTAAGCATTGAAAAGGTTGTATAATCACAATCTGTCACATGTTCAAGACCCAGGGTCAAACACAGTCAGTGCTACTGATATATAAAGGAATAATGAAAACCTCACTCTTATCCATAAAAAAGGTAGCTTTTAGGCACTGACGGATCATTTTCCTCCATACAGAATTTGTGCTGAGTTTGAAAACCACAAAGCCGATGCTGGTATGCCTCCTACAGAGAGACTTACTCACCCGCACAGGTGGATCTCTGGACTCGACATAAACATCTTTTAACAAGGTGAGGAGCTTGTCGTCCTTTCTGTAAATTTCTTCTTGTATCCCTGGGCGCTCTAAAGGCAGCGGGGAGAAGAAGGGAAGCGAAAAGACAGATCTGAGTCGAACCGTTTCCCGTTCGTTAGTTCTGCCAGCTTAATCCCTTCCCCAGAGGAACGGCGCGACTCCCAAGACGCACGGCGCTCCTCGGGAAGGTTTCACTTCTCCGCCAGCTCCAACCTTCGCAACACCGGTACCCGCCGCGGCCAGCCGGCGCGGTGGAAAACACCGTCGGCGGCCACCGCTGCCTGCGGGACCCGGCCCGGCCCGAGGTGCCCGGCC